TTTTCCCTGACAGCCTAAACCCTTTTTGGGCCAAGAAATTGAGTAACTTCACAGCAGTTTCCTTCACCACCCTCTCTTGTTCACCTGATAGGGGCAAGTCATACTGCAATAACCTGGCTCCTGGGAGTGGGATAAATTCCTTCAGTATTTTCTGCAAGGTTTGTCCAAATAGCACCGATGCCTTGGTGTATCCTTGCAGGAGGACTGTCCATGTCAATTGCTGTTTTAGCATTTTTCCTGGAACTGCTCACACTTCTGAGTTCACTTCAGCCTAGCTTTATCAGACACTTTGCACAAAGTTACAGTAGTGCTAACTTCTTTATTATCCCCCACAATATCAATTGACATTCCCAAACCAGCCAGTGGATCCATCCCAATCCAGTGAATGAGGAAGGCACAGAAGCTGCAGCTGCCACTGCTGGCCTTGTGGTGTATTCGGGGACGATGGTGATGGAAGAGGATTTCAATGCTGATCATCCTTTCATTTTCTTCATCCGACACAACCCGACACAAAGCATACTCTTCCTTGGCAGATATACTTCTCCATAAAAGAGAAGTATCCGCTTCCCAGTTCCTGCTCCAGTCAGGGAAAGCTTTGCTCCCAGACAAGTTGGGTTTTGATGCATAAATTTAATGCTCCTGTCCCTGAGCTCTTGGTAGCTTTCACTGAGACTCCGTCCTGCAGTTCCTGGTCTTATAGAGCACTTTTAATCCCTAGGAAAATATTAGCTATGGGCAAAAGAATCTTCTTTTGAACTTGGGCTAGCAATGGAAATACTTCTGGGCATGTAAGACACAATATCAGCTAAAAGACATGTAACATTGCTTTTGTGTGAGGAAGATAGAACATGAATTATATCTTTTGGGGAGGTCTTTAAAGAGAGTTTTAAAATTTGTAGTCTACTAGTCTTGTAGTTGCTGAAAACATGTGACAACTTTGGCAAAGTCTGGTCACTGTTTGCCGACGTCCTTTCTGTACAACCTCAGTTCTGACTTGGGCACAATCTTTTTTTTTTTTTTTTTTTTTAAGTGTGAAGTGTATAATAATCTTGTCTTCGAGCTATAAATAAAAAGACTGTTTCGTATGTCTGTTAAAAATTTATTATTTCAGAGTACAAAAATAACTGTTTACAGCTCCAGAGAAAGCCAGTGTCTCAGTAAGTGTTACATCTACTGTAGGAGGTTCAGAATAAGTGGGAACACAGGCAAAAACCAGCCTGGTCATAGAGTAACAGATTATGAGCAGACAGCTGTTTCATGTCATTAATTAATTAAAAAAAAAAAAAAAAGAAAAAAACCTCTCTGCCCTTGGGATGCTGTCTGGATCATATCATTTAGGTTGCCCTTCCTGCAAAGCAAAAAGACTTTTTTTTTTGCCTGAGCTCTGTCATAGTGGAACCGGAAACGGTACAAAGTGAAATGACAATGTGACTTTGAAATGACGTGTCTGCTCCCAAAGAAGTTGTTAGCAGAACACAGAGCTCTCCCGGCTGCGCAGGCGACCCTCTCCACGGGGAATATGAGGAGCGGGAGAAGTTTACAGTGTAGGAACTTGCGAATTACCAGAGGGAGGAAGGAAAAAGATAAATAACAGTCTGCTTGCAAGGAGGCCGCACAGCGCGGCGGCTTTGATGTTTTGACTTGCTGGTGTCGCAGTGCGGGCCTCCTTCCTCGCAGCGCTGGCAGCAGCACCGCGCGTATGGGCAAACAGGGCTGCCCTCTAAAGGCTGCTCTGGAGAAGGGACTGGGGCCCACCCTGACAGGGGCATGGGAGGAGATGCAAGGAATTTCCAAGGAAAAGGAGGAGTAAGGGAAGGAAACTGAATACAAGTCATCCCATTTAGCACACTCCGTAAACTTAGTCACAAGATAGGAAATAATTATGTGTCCACCTCATTTCACAACTTCTGCTGCAACATCTTGAACATAATTGGTCATAACAAGGGGAGTTTAATCAAGTTTTTAACAACTGAGTCAATACCTTTAAATAGAAGATTTCTGTCGGGCCGAGGCAAGAAACTTCAGCCTTGCTTTTCAGTAGGGTATAACTTGATCATGAATTCAGTTTGAGCTTTACCAAGTACTAGCAAATTCAAGAAAAAACAGTGATATTTTTTCTTTCTTAAGAGAACACAGTTCAAATTTTGGAAACATTCAAAAGTTAAATGGGAATCCTTGGCTTTACATTGAGATCCAAGGTATTTTTTTCATGGAGAGAAACTTATTAAGCCTATCATGCTGGGAAGAACATGAACACACACAACCAAAATAATTTGCAATATAGATGCCATTTGGGCAAGAGAAGACAATAATCAAAAAGCCTCTTCATGGACTTGCAAGAAAGATTTAGATTATACATTGAAATCCTTCGATCTAGGTGAAGGTCAAGCAAAGTGTCTTGAAACATGAGAAACGTCAAACTGCTTCGAGAGAGTTGTAGTTGGCTTCCTGACCTGGAACCATACCCTTGTAGCTCTTTCGGTCTGTAACAGTTACACTGACTGTACTTCACAAATGGGCATGTACAGCCGTTCTCATAGAAGCTCCCAGCACCGAACACCGCAGCCATCAAGAAATACCTTCTTGCAATTCGTGTATGCCAGGTAGCTGACCAGCATGCCAGGTGGCTGGGTTATATCACACCTACAGCATTAAAACTACAGCATTAAAAGGTGGAAATACCTCTCCAAAACAAGTTCTCTTTGCCAAAAAATAGGAAATTGTTATTTACAAAATGAATTAGGTACAGCACTACATTTTTTTGTTGTTTTTAATGAATGAAATATGAATGAAATAATACAAACGTGAAATAAGATGTAATACATTGAAAAAGTGAGCTGTCTCAATATTATAAGCAAAATGTGTGGCAAGTGGTCCTTACGGAGGAGTTCAGCAACCAGATTAACCTTCTCATGCATTTATGAACTTGGCAGGCCCACCTCCACTTTTTTTGTGTGGACGTGGAGTTGTCACTTGAACAGTAGAAGAGGATCAGAAGTTGTAAGGTCCATAAAGCACATGAACATCTGATATCCTCCCATTTCATAAATAAGGGACATAAGGATAGGAAACCTTGACATCTGCCAGGTAGCTAGTACAGGGACATGGGATATTTAGCAAGTAACTCCTGAGTAATTACTGACCAAATCTGGCTGTAACTGCATGGTGCTATCGTGCAGGTGGCAATACTTGGCCAAGACAAGACACATACCCTAATCCAAATATTCCATCGCACTTGACAAATGTCGACAGTTGTCCCTGTGGCTACTCAGCATTTCAGTACTGACATTTTTTGTTAGCTAATGATATGCTGTAGGTCTAAATGAACATGGTCTTCCGCTACCCGATGACTGGACGGCACAGTCGTATGCTGCTTTAGCAGTCACTAGCTTTTCAACACACCAGAACACTGCACACTTAGGAAGGATTAAAGGGTATCTGGGGGGAGGAATTAGCATTTCAATGAAGGAATGTTGTTGACGTTAGAGCCACTGCTATGGCCACATGTTTCGCCCATAGAAATGTTTAATCAACAACTATCTTGAATGTAGATATGTTTTCAGTAGGGAGAGCAAGCCAACTTCTCCCTTGTAAGAGCAGGAAGTTAGTTCATGTCTCTCAGCGTTCCAATTCAAAGCTAATGGAATTGCGGTTGCACAACTGGAAATATTTGGAGGGTGTTTTTGCTAATAAGAATCTCCTTACTGAAAGCACTTCCCAAACTGTCATCATATGATAAAAATTTTAAGCAGCAGAAATTCAAAAGCCAAAATAATTCACCCATTTTAATGACTGTTCTATTTCCAAAATCATTTAAACTTGTTCTGGAAAGTAGAGATGACAAAACTAAAGGAACCTCAAACTTCCATAACCATACTGCTGTTTTAAGAGTTTTTAAGCAAATTCGTAGACACTGCTTTCAACAGCTTTATTGGTTTAATAAATGTTGTTGTACAAAATTAGTCTATGGAACATCATATAAACAGGTATTACATTGTAATTACATGTTGTTTACCATATTTTACTGGGGGAGATCCTTTTTTTTTTTGAAAATAAATATTCTCAAAATCTGAAATAGATATCCAATTAAAAAGGGAAAAAGAAAATACTCCTTGTCTCATAGAAAGAGCCAGAAATACAAGTCATGTATATATTTTCCAGTTTATTTGAACCAGAGGGTGACATTACCACCCTGATAAAGCCTACTTCTGCATTTCTACATTGCATAGCAGTAACTATTTACAAAACAGTTGACAGCAGCAGTAGTACAATCAGGATAACACAGGGTCTCAAAAGGCTCAGTAGTTTAGTACTTTCAACCCCAGAGATCCGTGGCTGATACAGAAGGTGAAATTTCGTCCCAGGACAAACCTATCAAAAATGAAGAAACGCTCAGACCGAGGCTATCATGTTTTTCGTTCCTTGAAGAAGTCCACTCCTTTCAGCTCCTCAGGCAGATAGTCCTGCTCGACAGGTTCCTCGTACATGGGGTTGTATTTATAGCCCTTCCCATAGCCCAGGTTCTTCATGAGCCTCGTGGGGGCATTTCTCAGGTGCAGCGGAACAGGCGGCAGCGGCCCTGTGTGCATCCGCAGACACTCTTTGACGTTGCTGTATGCCCTGTACACCTCGATGGACTTTGGTGCTCTGGCAAAATAGACCACACATTGTGCGAGGATGACCTGGAAACAAGAAAAAAACAAAGTGTTAAACGATGTCTTTCAAGCTCTTTGGGAAAAAGGCTGCTGTCCAGATTGTTTGTATAGGACAGCGTGACTGGGCTGATGTTTTTAATTGACTTCCATCTGATACTAAAGCATGAGTATCATGATTAAACATCAACACAGTTTATGATTTTGGCTCTTAGGGAAGAATGACTAATTTAAAACACCTGAACACATGATTTTAATTATAACACAATGAAAACAAGACTAGGGGAACAATACGAAGTTAGTTAAAATGTCAAATTAACAGCAGATACGCAGTGAGTTACATTTTAAATCACAACATCTATTTCAAAGAGCTATGGTGTTCTGCTTAGTAGTCAGAGAAACGGTGCACTGAATAGATAAACAATTAAATTTGCTTTCTTTGCAATCTGTTTCTAGTTATAATCACACTTACATTTTGTAGTTAACAGAACAGAATTGCTCTCAAACCGTGAATGAATTAAGCCTTTACCTCACATTCTGGCATTCCAATAAAGTGACAACCTTGATAAGCAGCAACTGCTTGAGTTAAAGCCAAAGGATCTGCCAGACCTGCACAAAAGGGTTACATAAAAGCAGATTAAAATCAGTTTGCCTTAGGCCCTATTTTTTCCCCCCCGTAAGACGTAAGGTTACTCATGCCCATTTTCAAGTAGCTTTTCCAGACACTGAAACTTCAGGTATGATATTCTGCCATGTGTAAGATGCATTCCCATCATCTGCAGCCTTCTCCCTTCTGTCCCCCCACCAGAATAAAAGTTTGAAAGACAGGTATGATCTAAAGGCTGCACGTGTTGCCACATGGTGGCCGCCTGGAGAATAGCAGGTGGTTTGATATTTTTCTGGAAGGGGAAATACTATCATGTAGACCTAGCTTCCAGAGATCTAACAACTCTTCAGAGGCTACATCCTCACTAAAAATATTGCATCTATTTGTTTAGATAAGTCAACTGAGATGCCTTACAATTAGGTAACTATTTAGTCTGAGAATTGCAAAGCAGAGTAGGTTCTGCACTTCAGTATTTTGTTTTTCTCACACTCAGAGATTTTTTAAACATCAGCCCCTGCAAAGCAGAAACCTGAGGCAGATCTTAATTCACTGTAATCTTCCAGCATGAAAGATTGCATATACCTACCAATATCTTCACTTGCAAATCTCACCAGCCTCCTTGCCACATAGAGCGGATCCTCACCACCTTCAAGCATTCGAGCAAGCCAGTAAAGGGAAGCGTTTTCATCTGAACCTCTCATAGACTTGTGCAGGGCAGAGATGCAGTTGTAATGTTCCTCTCCTGTTCAGGAAAGGGTGGAAATAGGATACAGAGTAAATATATTTAAATGCAGAAAATGTACTTTCATAGTGAATAAACATAACAAAGTATTTCAAGTTCCTTTCATGCCTAATGATCACGGTGTTCATGAATAACTTCAATACCTTCATATTTTTCCAAGTGGATCATTCCAGTACGTATATAAGCATAACAGACCACCAGCAGACAAAAAGGAGTGTTTTTCTTAAATGCTACACAGCAAAAAATGTGCTTTCTTGATACCCTAGTGACCTTTCTTAAAAAAAAAAAAAAAAGACATTTTGAGGAGTTAGAAAGGAGACCTTATATAAATATTTTTAAATGACAAACAGTAAGTTATGAATACATATAAACTAGTCAGGAAGCACTACTGCATAAAGAATTAGTGAACGGATCTACCACACTGATGACCATTGCTTTCAGACTCACAAACACTCAAAACAGTGAAAAGACAATGGAAGGATCAGAAAAATCCAGCTATTAACTAGCAATAATTTAGAAAAACATTTTGCATAAATTAAAATCTGCAAATAAACAAAAGTTTGATCTGTTGTATGGGGAAAAAGAGAAACAACTTTGCTATAGATTTAAAACAATGGCATATTATTCATTCTGGAGGAAACAGAATCACATCGTACAATCATTGCAACTTCCTATGAAATGGAGAGTTCTGCTGTGGCCACTAATGCTGCTGAAAGGGCACTTAAAACTGTTATGAGCTCAAAAGAAGCAAAAAAACCCCAAGAAACCAGCACCCCTTCCGACCACCTGACATGCAAGACTGCTAAACATAGGGATCAGGGGAACAAATAATTTACAAGGATTTTTTTAACACTGAATTTTAATGTAAGATTAAATAAAGGCTCTGAGGAAATACAAAGTCACTACACAGATCTTTTAGGTCTAAAGCTAAAAAACAGAGGGGCAAAATAAAGAACACTGAATGAGAACTTTACTACTTGCAAATTTTCTCCATGCTGGTGGTTGCGTTTCTTTTAATCAAACTTGTAAGAGTACTTTGCTGGCATATTTTTTTTCAGCTTTTTACATAGTCTGCTTTTTTTATTTATTTTTATAAAGTGCTTGGCATTCCTTGGCTCACTGCTAACTATGTATTATAAAGGCAACTGGCTGCATTCACAACCATCTGTTATATTTCCTCTCCTCCTACGGTCAAAAGGATTTACAGCCCCAGGGCTACATCAGAACATGCTACTGACATTTGTAGGCTCTACAAAATAAAAATGTATGTGGGTTTGAAAACCAAGGATCCCCAGTTTGCTGGGGCTGCTCCTCTGAAAGTCAGTGAAACTTGCACTCTCCACTTCGGAAACTGGTCCCATCTTCCTGTGTTATGGCTAACATTGCAGTAGGATACAGTGGGGAATTCCGAGTGTGGTCTTCTGGAATATGAAGGCTGCAGACAGCTATTTTTAATCGGACCCCCCACACAAAGAGCTCTGTGGCATGCAGGCATTTTCAGGCCAACATAAACAGCGTGTCTGTGCTCCATCATAGCGCTTGGGCTCGCAGCAATGAACCCCAGCAGCTGAACTCGCATCGTCCCCTCGGAAGAGGCGTCTCCTGGTCTCTTGAAAGTGAAGGCGGTGGCCTTCAAGTATCTTTTCTACTTGCCCACCTCTTTTGCTTGCTGAAGTGCTTTTATGCACTCTTGGGGCTCCTGGAGCATGTCCTGGAATCAACTGGAGAGGCTAAAGGAAGCTAACACATAGGTTAGTCTCTAAGTATCTAGTATCTCTAGAGTATTTTACAGAGAGAATATTTAGAGTATTTAGAGGCTTAGCAAGAGAATAATTTTCTTCCTCCATTTCCCTCCTCACAAAGTTAGTGTGGGTGACTGAGTCATCTCTTCAATGAGATTGTGGAATTGTACTTAAAATGTAGTTTCAATTAAAGGAAAAAAAAAGACAACTATATGCACCTGAGAAATGGCTTTTATATGCATGATTTTGATATTTTCTCAATCAGACAAAATGGACAACTCTTCTTTTAGACCTTTGTTTATTAACTCTCAGGCTGGCTAACCCAAGTATAGACTTTGACCTTAAGAATGTAGAGACAGGCACATGCAAACAGATCTGTCACTGCTGTTCTACATCCCGATGCCTCCTGAAACCAAAACTTTGAAAAGTATCTGGAATCAAAACACGTTTGTTCTATGAGGTTCACACATAGGCAAATGCCTTTCCTAAGAGAAATCTGATAGTGTCTAAGAAGTTAGATGGTGTCAAATGGATAATAACATATAAATCTCAGTTTTGTGTCCCTAAATCTCTTAAAGAAGACTTTCCCTGATGATTTATCTAAGAAGATGGTCATTTATCTAAAGCTTTATTTGTAACAGACAAGGAAAAGATTTCATTCACTGACTGTAGTTAATATCTGGAATTCTTAAGCAATAGGTAAAAATAAAACAACAGTCCCTATCTCCCATCACTTCCTGTCTATCTTGGCCAAAGGTAAACACCAATTGCTCTTAAGTAAAAATCAGAGGAAAGTCTTGGAAGAGCAACAGCAGCACATGTAAAAAATGCCTCAGCAAACAGTGAGGCTGACATAAAAACACTATGAAATGAGATATGCTTCCTTTCCTTATCAGTGTAAGAGGAAGGAACAACTTCCAGCTCACAAGAAGAACTAATTGTCTATTCAGCTTAATATATTCAATCTTTAGCATAGCCAAAGCTACACAAATAATGAGAGAAAACTCTGCAATCATTCTGATATTTATCTTTGCTATTTGCCTCTAAAACAACATAAATGCTAAACCATCACATGTAGGAAGTGAAGGAGACAATACAACTCAGTCTTAGAAACCCACTGTCCCTCTGTTTCATGTCTAAAGGGTTGGCCAATCTTTTGTCCATCTGTTAACATTAACTGAATTCAGTCACTGCATCCTTTTCTCTGAAAATTGCAACAAAAATAGAAATGCAACTGAAAGTTAAAATGCAACTAAAGGACTAATTTTCACTGACACTGTGAGGGCTGCAGGTTGCTGCTAGCAGTGAATCTCACTAGAGCTGTTTCTCTGTCCTACCAGATAAAACACACAGATTATCTGTACAAAGACCTTGTCTTTATACATGTGCACACTGATCAGCACAACAGCCTGAGGAGTGGATTAAACAAATAAATTTCCTCCATCACAAGGAACCGTTGCTCTGAAAGACTTGGATAAAATATGCTACAAAATATTTTTATTTACACAGCAGCCTCCATCCAGAAGCACTTAATAAATGAAGCACCACTAGCTCTATCCAGGGTGGTCAGAAGTGGTCAATTAGGACACAGGCTACCCTGTAGAAACAACACATTTTGTAGAGTGAAGTATGCAGGCAGCCTACTGCTATGACAATATTTACCACAGGCTCTTTGGTATTTATAGCATCAAGAAAACCAGAGCTCTTCCCTCTAGCATCCACCTCTGAAAACGTTTGACACACACACAAAAAAAAAACCTACCCAAAGCTCAAAGGATTTCTGCCCGGAAGAAGGGGCAGAAGGGGCAGGAGTGCTACCTAGCACGGACGGAAGCCTCAGGAAGAGGCACTCCGTGCTCTGCGACACCTCTAACGGAGGCAACAGGCAGAGGAGACCTGGGAGCAAGGGCCACAGAGGAAACAGTCCTACCTGTCAGCCACCACAAGGCGACAGCAAACCCACAAGGGAGCCCATTTGTGCCCCAGCTCCCTGCAAAGGCACCCACCAGCAAATCACACCCAGCAAACTGGCCGCGTTTTCCCCTCCTGCATCCCTAACTGGGACTCTTTCCTGTCACAGACCCCATAGGGTTTTTTTTTTCTCTCCTCCTTCCCCATGGCCTATCCCCTGCTTCCCACATCAGCCACCACATCAGCATGTGGCTGACTGTTTCCAAACCACGAGCCAACATTTTCTCTCTGTAGTAGGAAAAGAAGCATACACGTATGTTATGAATAACCCTAGAAATGTCTCAGGTTTTGAGCAGTGGCAGTTAATTAAGCATATCACACAGAGTGACAAATAAAAAATGAATCAGTCCTCTAAACACTGCTTCGCTTAATCATTGGATACTAATATGCACAGTGATGCAAGTATTGCTGAAACACTAGCATACACATTCAAAGGGACTCTCCTAATCCCTAACGTTCAATTCCTATTTTTTAAGTCTATCACTTTAAACACTCTAATGGCCATCTTCTATAATGCCTAAATTGCCAAGACACAAATTTAGTAAGAGCTGATATCACATCAGGATCCTTAAATGCATTTAGATGTGACCTACTCTAAGCAAGCTACAAAATTCTTTGCCTTAAAAAGCGTCTCTAAAAATAAAGCAAACTGCTCAGGTTTTCAAATAAGATAGTGTGAATGTGAGCACTTCCAAGACTTTCAGAGGAACAGCAGTGCAATGCAAGATTTCCAACCCTCCAAAAATAAACCTCTTCATCTCCAAAATACCTCTTCCTTCCCATACAGTCCTTCAGGTCTTAATACTCTAATGACCTTAAAGAACAAACAGATTTACTATGCAACCTTCTGCTGATGAACCTGCACTTCCTAAGTGGTGAGCAGTAACCCTGCTTGGAAGGAAGTTTTGGGTACCCCTTGGTACCTACCCTGTCTGCCCTGCCATGGACCAACAGCCTGGAAGCTCCCAGGTGAGGTGTAGCAACCTAAGTACAAAGCTGCAAACTAACACTGTTAGTAATACAAACTAATATAGTTTTGAGAACCACTGCTGTACGGTAAAAGGAAAGTCATTTTTAGGCCAATATATTATTACAACTGCTGTTTCAACACAACTGGTATGAAAAAGAGAAAAGAAATACAATTTTAAGTACTTAATTTTTAAGAAATATAATTTTAAGTACTTTAGTACTTAGTACACAGGAAGTGAAGCTGAAGTCTGATAACACTGTACATGAAAGAAAGGTTAAACTGAGGGAACCCATCCTGACCCCAAGTTCAAGACAAATTTGCAGGCTTCGCACTGAAAAAGAAAAGCAACAGATCATATTCGATTAAACACACAGACAGGAAATTCCACACGGACTTTCGTGCATATACATAAACTGATACAATGACATAAAATCCAAAGCCCTCTTCCTAGTTAAAAAAACATTTTTGAAGACCATTATTTAAACAACACCTGCAAAAAAAGCACCTGTGCAGAATGAAATTATTTCCCCAGTTCCTATTCTACGGCACTGTATCTGCTGTCAGGGCCTCACCTGCTCGGTCGTAGAGTATATGAGATCGCTGTAGTCCTTCCTTTACGTGCTCTTCTGTTATCAGAGCTCCGTCTGCAGAACAACCTTTGGCAACCCCTGCTGCTAACCTGGCTTGAACTGCTAACTGAAGTCCATTCAATCCAGTCCTTGCATCACCATCACAGAGGTAGGCCAGGGTGCTTAAAGCTTTCTCCTCGATGTACACAGGGAATCTGCAAGAGAATAACCCCTCGGATCTATCCCACATTGCACTCCTTTCACTGTGGCATACTGTGCTGGAGGTTACATTTCTTTGTGCAGTCTGGCGAGAGGCAGTTTGGTTTAAGCTTTGTGCTTAACTCATTCTCTCATTTTTCAGTACTGAAGAGACTTGGACAACACTGTGTGATTTGACCCTTCCTTCTCCTTCCAACGCACATTAAATGCCATGGCATGTATAAAAAGTGGAGCAAGAGCCCTCATCCATTTACCTACCTCCTTGTTCTTCCTTGAGATAGCCCAGTCTCATTAAGTACAGTGAAAGCCGGGTTAGGCTTTTACCTAAAGCCCAATTCTGGCACTGTTAGTTGAATATTAAAAGGTATTACTTTGCCAGCATTTCATAGCTAGCACTTAAAATTCCTTGGCTAAAGGACAATGAAAAGGTAGGAAGCTATCCAAATGCATGAGAGAATACAGGGAGGTACAAAGCAATTAACATGAGATATTTAACTGCCACTGCCAGAGACAGCCTTCACGAAACAGTTTAAAGTATTGCTTACATTGTATTATACTTTTTTGAAATGGTAACAGCTGTTAAGACTTAGTCACTTAATACAAATACTAGAGTACGAAGAAAGGGAATCCCAGTGCATGGGAGTCACTATTCTTTCATCTGGCGCGCCAATACTACACAAATCCATCATAACATAAAGGCCAAACTTCTGTGAACTCACCCTACAAATGAACAAGATGGTCTGAGTTGAGAGAGATTTGTTGAGATTCCAGAGCAGGTTTACAGCAAAGCTGGGAAAATCATTCAAGTTCTCCATCTCTTTCTCCAGATTTTCAGTCCCTAGGCTGCAGGCTTCACTGCACAAGCAAACTGATTCTGCTCTACACAACCCATACACACTCTGTTGAGGATCTGACCCTCATACTTTAGTTATATGGACAGACTAATGGGTAAGGTGCTTGCCATCAGAGGATACAACTGATTGGTTTTAAAAACAGGAGCTAGTGGAGCTGAAGTGTCATAAAAAGTAATGGCCCTAACTACACCATTTCCAGTAATGGGATATAAAATCAATAGTGACATATATCAGCTGGGGATTAATGCACAGAGCTTGGAGAGGGAGTTAGTTTCTTACAGAGCACCAAATAACTGGGAATTCACCCACACTGCTGCACTTCATTCACTGGAAAGATTTATTACTGCTGTTACCAGCGGTACACACAGAAACGATGCCAAGGTTCCCAAACGCATAAATCCCCTAATCTTCGCTATCTGGCCTGCCTCTTTATGGGGTTATGAAAAATGTCTTTGTTAGGCGCACAACAGCTGCAAGCAGCTCTGCAACTACAGGTACATGAGAAGCTCTAAACTCCCCCTCTTACTCCATACCAGTCTGAAAGGCAAATTTAGCTGCTGGTAACTTCTCTTGCTATTCCTGTCATCCTAAGTGCTCACTGTGCAAGTCTAAACAGAAAGAAACCTCTACAATGAGGCACACCTAATCCACTTCATAAAAATCAGCACAAGAAAACCAAATTATATTTCTGTCTCTTCAGAGACCCTGCAAGTGCTTCACTGAACCAATATAAGCAACTCGTATTGAATACATTAAAACAAAAACCCACATGGAAGTACCGAAAATATTCCATGATGAAATCCAAGTTACAACATATTGATAATGGAAATCCCATTTCAAATAATGTATTTTGCACTAGGTTGATCTAGCCCACATCTAGCATCACGCACTGGACAATAATAACTGTGAATATTGCCGCATAGAATCAAGTCACTTGCCCTATATATTGAGGAGAGTCAAAAATTTGAAAAATCCTCCAAAAGACACTGTATTTCACCTTTTTAGCCCAATCTCAGCCTTACTCCTTCACTTCATCCTGACTTCCACACACTATGAATCTGCAGGACAGAACGGCCCTCACACTTTCTGACCTATTTACAAGCTCCTGATCATCTTGCAGATGGGCAATCTCATATTTTTTCCACTCTCCAAATTTAACACACAACACACACTGGATGCCAAGACTTAATGCTGGTACCTTTTAACTGCTGAGACTTATGAGACAAAAATATAAACAAGCATGCAGGGATGCCTTGGAGCTGGAGATAATATACTAACTAAAGTAGTGGAAAACAACCACTACAGGATAAGAAATCCTCCTCCCCACTCCTCCTTACCTCTCTGTCCTCAAGAGAGTTTGTGCCAAAAAGCAATGTAAAACATAACATGAACTACCATAAAAGCTGCACATCAGCACTGTGTTTGATCCAAAGACAAGACAGTGTAAGCAGCACCACACAGCAGATATGATAAAGTCGAAGCAAGCAGAACCTTTATGATGAAAAGTTCAAAAATAGTTGGGCAGAACACAAGATAAAGTAGTCGGCTGCTTCTTTCGCATATAAATCCACTTTCTTACATTCTCAGTGCATTTTTTTTCTCACTATATTCACTTCCTGACAGGGTGCAACAGCTTAAAGGCAAGTATCAATCTTCATCTGAAATCCTGTAGGATGAGGTGCAGGACAGCCAACTGCCCTGCAGCACTGCTACTGAATATGTCCTCTCATCCCAGCAACACTGTGATTAAACACTGTGATTCCCAAACCAGGGAATTCAAAACCCTGTAGAACTTGCCACACAGACAGTAGCAAATTGACTTGTAGGATGTATAGTCCTTCTAACCCGAAACTGAGAATCCTTCATTTCACTCAGCTGCTATCTAACTCCAAACACATTAGTCCAACATGCAGCCTACTGTCTGATTTCCATTAGAGATACTATTCTGAGGGCAGCAGTAGCATGAAAAAAAGCAAAAGTCAGGAATAAAAAAAAAGAATGTGGTTTCCACTATTAACGACATAGTACAAGTATAGCACACTGGTGTATGGCAGGAACAATCTGATGTTAGCGAGGTAGCATTTGTCTAAACAGAAGAGGGCAGCAGGAAAATTTTAGCAATGTAAGATGTATTCACTTCTCCTCATCGCTCCTCCTCTTTGTGAGCATACATTTCTTTCCTATTTCACCCTCTTTTAGCATATTTTACTTTTAGCCTATCTTAGCCTAAAGGAATGCAGTAATTATAATACAAAATGATAAAGTAGCTTTATGAGAGTAATAATACGACAAAGAAGATACTGAATTAAGTACTGACTCCTGCCAGCTCTATCACAGCTTTATAGCAAGAAAAGGTTCTAGAGCAACCACAGTGGGATGAGGAGGAGCCACATGATGTAATATTACCAGAAAAATGCAGCTATGGTGGAAGCAGAACCAGAAGGTGCCACCAAGAAAACTTCTGGCAGAGTCCACTGTTCCTTTGATTACTGCTGTATTTGTGTGCAGAGTAGAAATGACAAAATATCAGCAATACTTGCTCAGCGTAGAATATTCCTGTAGAAAGCAAGGGGCATCTGCCCTGCCGACAGGCTTACTCCTCAGGTTAAGAGAAAAGGCCACCAAGAAACATTCTGATTTTCGGATATCACGTCAGACAAGTGATGTGATACTGAGCTTGCCCGAGGCCAAGCAGCACATGCAGAACTTCAAGGTTTGAAAAGGGAAACTCATTGTTTAAGTAAAAGAAATCTTAATTCAAGAGATATGTATCTCTTGTGCCTTCCGGCTAGCTCTCCACGTCACTTCCAACACGGTCACGTCCCACATGCATGAACACACTGTCTTAGAGCTCTGTTTCTAACTCTGTAACGAAGGTGACTAATTTACCAATAGTGACTGCTGGTGTACTTTTAGTTACTCCTTAGGACCTTTGCCTGCAGTTAATACTGCCTCTTTTTGACAAAGGCAAGAAGATAAGAGGGAAAAAAATGAAACAGAGCTGCTCCTGCAGAGCAATCAGCATAGAAGAAACAGATGATCAGGAATGGTATGGCCAATCAAACAGGAACAAGCAATCAGCAAAGAGACCAAAAACTAAAACACCCGTAAAGGGCAGGATGGCTAAAAAATGGAAGCCCAGCACCAAGAGCCACAGTATGAATCAACCGTAGACCAGAACCAGAGCGTGGCAGGAAGCGCAGGAAAGGCTAAACACACAGTTGCTGCAGGCAGTCTTAAATCCTTAATTCTGTTTTTGTTTTAAAACGTTTGGCTGGTGCGTTAGGCGCTGATGTGGGGCGCTCCCTCTCCCCGGAGAGATTTCTGACCCTGTGGTGGGCTGAGGGCCGGCCTGCCTGACGGGCTTCCTTCGGTTTGACGGGGCGCCGCATCGTGCTGCCTAAATCATCCCCAGTGAAAGGAAGGTTACAGACACCGAGGGGCTGCTGAAACCCAAACCCAAACAACTGCAGCTGAAGCTCTGCCTTGTGCTTTAATCCCACACATAAAGGAAAGTCTCAGAAACCCTGGGCAGGGTGTAGCTGCCGCCACAGCTGCGCCACTACATTAATGCTGACATGCAGGACTGCCCTCTCCCCTGCGGTTCCCATCACTGCAGTGAGTAAAAGCTACATGTACAGCAATACGAGGAACGATACCCCTCCAAAAAATGGGGGGAGGCAATAGCTTCCATTCCCTGCCTTGCCCTCCATATCCTGGCTAGGCTGTCTGAGTACTCATGAAGCTGTGATAAAGCTAAAGGATGAAGCGTGCCACCTAAGGCTACCTTTTACTTATTTCATAAGCAGTGCCAGCCTAATTATCATCACGGCAATGAAGCAAATTATAAGTAGCGTGCATAAGCCCCAGAACGAAGGAATTTTAATTATAACTTACATCAGAGCAGCACAACATTATGTATTATCTTTATTAGTTAGCTACCCATTTTGTGAGATATCTTTCCTTAAGGACAAATCAGGACTTCATTTTTCTTCAAAAACCCTCTATTTGGTTTGGACAAGAAGAAATGGAAAAAAAAAATGTACCTTAAACTAAACCATTAACTTATTGCAAAAAAAAAAAAAAACACTTCAGCCCATCCGAAGCATACCATAAAAGATACCATACCACTTCTGAAGCTAAGGACAAGTAGTATCCTTCTGCTCTTACTTAAAAAAAAAAAAAAAGTATTTAGCAAACAATAACCTTTTGTCAGGCGCTTCCAAAATAATTTATAGAGGATGCCCTATCCACCACTTAATTGTAACATGAGCTTTTTACAACCAGTAAGAAAAAGTAATGTGCATTAGGACATGACAAGGACCCAGTTACAGGCTTCCACAGTAAATCCTCAGCAGCAGAATGGATTTAAATATCCTGGGGGTGAGTCACGAGCTGCAGATCCAAGTATAAAACTTGCTACTAATCCAGCCGGTAAGATTATTTTTTGGATGCGGAGCCAGAGACTCCCTCCCTCCCCGCACCCCCTCCCCGCCACATGCTGCTACTTCTTTTCTTTACTATCGGAGGTGGCTAGGGTTTCTCTTCCCACCCCCAGCTTCATTCTCTCCCTGGCAGGCAGTCAATCCCGCGGGCTGTGAGCATCGACACGCTGCAGCCCATAAAGTACTCACTCCGAGCCCTCGCTGGGGCTGCCAGCCGCAGAGCTGCCGTGCTGTTCGCCTTGGCCCAAAACCTGGATCCCTAAGGACCTGACCGCCCTCATCAGAATCACTTCCATCGCCTCAACCGAGAGCTTCTCCAGAACGATAACCCGGCACCGGCTCAGCAGAGCAGAATTCACTTGGAAGGAAGGGTTTTCTGTGGTTGCTCCAATCAGCGTCACTGTTCCGCATTCGACGTGAGGCAGGAAAGTGTCCTGAACATGGGAGGGAAGCAGAAGAAGCTGATCTCAATCGATGATAACCTGAAACATCCCATGTGAGTAGGCTATCTGGCATTTTCCTAGTATATTTTTCATGTGTTCAGAGTCTTTGGGTTTCCTGTTGATATGAAAAATAACCTCACTGACAAGGCAGCTCATCTGCTCAGCTAAATGATTTAATTTCATGCATGCAGCACATTACAGCTGTTCACCTTAATAACCCAGGCTTGCAACAGGAATAATCCTACCTGTTGTAAGGAAACAAGTGTTGAATTTTAGCTTATTCATGTGATTGTTGTTTGGCAAGCAAGACATACCATGAAAAACACCTTATTAACCTTACCAATTTACAAACGCTGAAGCTATTTTTTAACTCCTCTCTGAATCAAGATTTAGGGCTACAATTGTCGTTGTAGTTCTATAGGATGCTTCAGGAAATTAAGGGAAAATTGGAATGGTTGCACAGAATTCAATAAAACTGTCACCTGTTCTACAGAATTGAAACTTTTCAAGCTGTGACTAAAGAAAATAATACCTAGAAAAAGAGAAAACATCCACTTGACGGCTGCAGCAATGTATTATCCCAAAGAACCATGCCATGCCTTCTTTTCCCTTTGCCAGACGAGACAAGGAGGTAACATTAAAACAAACAAACAAACAAAATCTCTAAGCCCCTCTACATTCCAACTTGAGATAAGTCAGATTTCACCAAAATGTCATATAAAGCCCTGCATGTAAGTCTTCTTAACTCTATCTCAGCCTTTTCCTTAGATACTTCAATAATTACGCACTGATGCCAGGAACTTAGTTATGGAATTTAATTTCTAAGTTTCTCCAGAACTCAGTTACCAGAAACATTAACATAATGTTAAAATCAGAAGTCCAAAGCAAGCTATGATGTTGCTTACAAGAAGAGGTGAGTTGTCCCGGAAGTGCTGACAAACAATTTTTCCAAAAAGTGACCTACTACAGTACCTGCTGAGATTTATTGAAACGATGAATCTCATCAATAAAGAGGATGGTTTTTCTCTTGAACAGTCTTTTTTCATTTTGGGCTTGGCTGATGACATCTCGAACATCATTCGTCTTGGCACTGGTGGCTGAGAGTGTCACAAACCTTGTGCCGTTCTTTCTGCTGCTGCTCGCTATGATATGTGCCAGGGTAGTCTGAAAAAGTGGTAGGAGGGATTTTTTTAAGGATTAATTCGGACACAGAATGTACTGATGTAAAGGAAATGGGTAAAGAACAAAGCTGTATTCTGGGCGTATATCTAGTGTTAACAGATTAGAGAACAGGGTGCTAGGGAACTCGCTCATGCCATTCACGTGCCATTCATGCTGTTCTAGCCCACAGGAGACTTACAAACTTTCTGGTAGGGGCACCTGCCAAATCCAGTGCTGCACTTCTAATGACAGCACTTGAAGTACCAGATGTATTGAGTCCCAGGACTGAAAGGCAAGCAGTAATGACACCTGTTTTCTTTACTCCTTAAGAAAAACCCTTTCCCAGATATGTTTTTTCCACAGAAGACAGAAGGACTTCAATTCACTGAGCAAACTTTTTGTACAGGATCATAGAGGGTAAAGAGCTGGACTATTCCGAGATATCTACAGCAGAGTTCATAACACAATTACATTTAAGAAATGAAAAGCTACATAAATGTTGTTACTCAATGACATTTGTGTTGTTATTTCCACAGCACATAAAAATGACATTAATCAAAAAGCAGTTTCCTACAAAAACATGAGAATTTTGGTGCTAAAAACAAAAATATCTCCTTAGATTTGTTGTCTAAATAGTTAACAGTAATCAAAACCTGTCCACCAGAAGTAGAAAACAGCTGACAACAAACTGTTAGCTGGTTTTAGTGAACAGTTATCCTGTTTTTCTTCCCTTGTACACAGCTCCTTCGTATCACTGTTTATTTATAGGGAATTACATTGCACCCACTAAAGAGAAGAACAACCTCCACCAACTATCTCACACACAGAGATTCCCTAAACTTGAATACATATTACAGGGACACAATTTTCATTCCTTCCTTCACTCCCCTTGGTAAAGATTGGTGTATCTACATGACCCAAGCATAGTGCATCTCTATTTCAAAGTACTGCAAGGCAAAAATGGGTGGTTGCTTCCTCAGCCTCGCTTCTTGCATTAAAGAAGGAGCCTAAGGGATCTAAAGACAGAAATGCCTTAGGGGCTGAGGGGGAGGGCAGGTGCCAACAAGCTCCAAAGCTTCAAAAGATATTCCAAGCATTGAGGTTAATGCAGCAGGTGCTCCAAACCTGATCCTCTTGAGAGGAGAGGGTGGAAACAACCACCTACCGGAGCCCTACTAGCGCTGTTGGCAAGACCAGGTCCATTTCCCCAGCAGAGCTGCTCTGTCTTTTGATGAATCTCCTCGTCCATGAGATGGCAACCAGCCCAAGCCAGGAGAGGGGAGGTGAAAAGGCAGGATATATTCCTATTTACTCTCTCTTCGGCTTTTGTAATAGCTTTCAGATTGTTTTTTAAGAGGTCTCATCCCATGCCCTAGCATGAGACTTGCATCTCATGTCAGGCCCATCTCATCCCGAAGAGCTCAAAATACCGACTCTTCCCCTCCCTGGAGCACTGCTGGAGAGGACACGGGAAAGGCACGCAGGAAAGTGCTCCCATGAGGCCTACTGAAAACAGGACCATCTGGGAGGCACAGCAACACATTTACGTTTGAAGCTAAGCTAACAAAATGAAGCCAAAGTTGGTATTTCTCTACAAAAGTGACTTGGTACAGACTGTGCTTCTGGAGCATGCAAACTATTGAAAGCTTGGAAACCCCCAACATACCAAGTTTGAAGGTGCAAAAAAACACCCCAAAACAACAAAAAACAGAAAACAAAAAAACCCCAAACCTCTGCTTTAAAAGTAGCAGGAGGAGGAAGAAAAATAATCAAGTGTCTCTTCTAGGAGCTCCACTTACTTCATACTGCATCCTCGCCTGCATTTGCCAGTTACACAGATGAACAGACTTGTTATATTTAGCATAAGTTCAAGAACATGGCTAAATCAGGCCATAAGGAAGACTGCAGGGCAGATCTCTTTTTTTTTGTGCCTTCAGGCTGGATATTTTTTAATAAATCAGCACACCCTGTTGTGAAAACTCAGATTCGGAAGTGCCAGATTTTTGTAAGACATAAAAATATTACTAAAGAAAATTTTATCTTCCTGCCAAGAGAGTTAGATTTCTTACATTTTTCTGTCAGCTCTGATACACAACCTTCAGACAGGCAGCTTTGTTGTTTAAAAAAAATAGATTTTTAAACACATAAATGGGAGCATGTGGTTTGTCTACTTAACTTAGGAAGGAAATCCAGAGAAATCTGAAAGTTACTTTTAGAACAAGAATCTATTGGAAATCTGCTACACAGTTCCCAGCCAAATTAGGTGGACATCTCTCCCACCCTGCCGATCGCTGGATCAACAAAGGTTGTTGGAGGAACGACACACACTGCATTTCACAGCCAGTGCTCAGGGCACACAGGCATCTTCTTGGCTTCCTCATTCTATCCTCCACAATCAATCTTGTCAAGCTGCCCATCGCATCCTGCTCGAGCTTCCCCTGTTCCTCTGTACAGTTATGATTTCTCACAAGCTCATTTTTTTTTTCATTTCTGCTTTTTCACATAATATTTCTAGGAAAAGTCTCAACATATTATACTTTCTCCTCCCTGTATTTACTCCTTCTCCCTTACTGCTATCAAGTTGCACTGAAGCTAAGAAACATCTCAGTGAAGACATAGAATAAGCATTGCAATCGAAGAAAGGAAGCACTAGCAAAAACTGGAAAAAGTCTGCTCTTACAGTTTTGTCACTAAATTAAACAGGGAGAAGAAGAATTTTTTAAATCTTCTATGGAGGAAGGAAAAGAAAACACACTGAATGTCCTTCATCATCTAAAATAACTTTCAGTCCAATCTTTATAGAAGGAAAAGGTCTTAAAAATTAGGTCTTAAAAATTAGTTACATTAGCTCTTATTTAATACTAACAAAAATGTCCATATCTGAAAAAAGTGTAATATGCAGCCAGATGAAAACTAAACAAGACAATATTCTGCTCTTTTTATTACATAGGGTTTTTTTTCTTTAGATCAAGTTGTTTTCCAAGCGCAGAGGAAAGACAGCATTCTTCTCCATAAATTAAGTGATGTTTACTTTAATGAGAACAGAAGTGATCCTGCAATCGATCCTTTTGCTAAATTCAGTGAAATTACACCTCACAAATCTCAAAGTGTAATATCCATGCCCCTTCTAGAAACCACTCCAACTTCTCTTCCATTAACCCAGCAAAATGTCCAAAGTCACACCTATCACCTCAAGTTTTACGTGGGAAATTGGAATCCCCTATCGAATCTATCTTTTTAGCCAGGCTGAAGAAGTGCCATATCCACCAAGAAGCCTATGAAGAACGCATTCACCATTCCTCAGCAATGAATAGTAATTCCCACTTGAGCCTGTGGCCACTTATTTACAGCCCTATTACATACACAACATGAAGCTCCCCTTCACTGTCCTGGAATTTGCTTCACATCAGCTCAAATGAGAATTTTCTTTTCCAAATGCTGCAGTAAACCAGGATTTAAGAAACCACACAACCAAGCAAGCAAATAAGCCACTCCCAGCAAATACGTGACTGGCTCTTCCAAGCTTTGCTGCCAGTTACGGATGAAATAAAAGTAATCTGGAACCAAGCACAGCTCTCATTATCAGAGCAGACATGTCAACCAGATCTGCTCTTTCAGTTAGCAGCATGCCTCTGATACAAGGGTTTTCTGTTTATCTACCAATTTCACAGATTTAGCTCCTCTCTGAATGTATCCTGTTTCCCCATTCTTCATGCTGCCACTAATCAATGTAATCTCACATCCAGAGCAAGAAAACTATAAAAATGAAGCACAAATTAATCCAACTCTATTGATGTCAAGGCTTAGTGGCACAGAAATAAACCGTGGTTTCACTTTTTTACTGCCCTTTTGTAGGTTATTACCCAATGCCCACTACATTAATTCACCACGGTACTTTTCAGGAAGAGTGGTATGGCCTAGCTCTCTTCCAAAAGCAGAGGGGAAATAGTTGGCCATGGAATTGCAAACGTGGCCACATTATAGCAGCTGTGGAGCAAGAGCTCTCCCTCACACCTGGATGAGTCTTTCCAACACACATACTAATCCCAGTGATTAGCTGGACAAACGTCAGGCCTGCTAGGACACCTCTGGATGACCGGAGCACAACTGGCACAGACTATACCTGCACTACCGTATAGACAGAAGCACTGATTACTCTCCAGCAGGAA